GATATTGGTCTATAATTAGCTAGGACACCTGGGTCAAGAGTAGGCTTTTTGAGTAGAGGTTTAATTACTGCAAGTTTAAAAGCCTGTGGAACATAACCTGTTAATAGAGAGGTTAATCAGATCTAGTATGGAGTAGTCCAAGTATAAATGAGGTCTTACAGATGTTTCTAAAGCCACTGTAGTAAATGGCACATCCATGAAAGCTGTGGGAATGGTCCGACTGACATGCTTTAGTGCTATTGCTTATGACAACTTTCTCGTTACTGCAGCACAGAGCAACCTTTGACCCACTATAATCACAAGCTGACCCCAGAGGGTTGGGCAATGCTGGGATTATAAAAAAAGAACTGGAGTGGTTATGATCACAAGATGAGGAAACTGAACAGGATTGAAAAATGTCTAAACTGTCCTCCACTGTGCTGCTTAGTGGAGCGCCACCTCCTTTCCATTTTTCGTGATGCCTGCTTTAGGGAGCGGAGCTGCGAGCTGTACCATGGGGCTTCCTCTGTTTCACTGCCTTCTTTTTCATAGGGACACTGGTATCAAGTGTATTACACAGGGAGACTGCAGCACCTGAAGTAATTATTTCCTTAAACTTGGTAACAGCATTGTCAGATAGACATTACTGTAGTGGAATTGTTCCCACATAGAGTATAATCCATTAATGGAAATTCAAAAGTTATTAGAAAATGGTCAGACAGAAGAGGGTTATGGGGAAAAACTATTAAGTGTTCAGTTTCGATGCTATCTTGTCAGAACAAGATCAAGAGTGTGATTAAAACAGTGAGTGGGTTTATTTACAGTTTGAGAGAAGCCAACTGAGTCCAACAATGAACAGAATGCATTGTTGAGGCTGTCATTGTCAGCATCTACATGAATATTAAAGTTGCCTACTATTGTTAGATCGGCTCGAACACAGGGGTAAGCAAGTCACAAAAATATGACGGACCCAGGTGGCTGACTTCAGTGCAAGCAGTGCTAAGTTTAATTACAGTGAAATATAACAAGGAAATGAATAATCAGGTAGAAGTGGGACCGGGTGTCGAGCTGCAGAAGTGAATACAGTCGGTGGCTGAATGATGAGGAGAAGACCGGGCTGCGGACGCTGGGACTCACTCCTGGGCTGGTCGTGGTGGAAAGTACTGAGGAATAAAGACTGGAACAGAGCTAGGGCGACAAAACGTGAAGATACTATACAGTAAAACAGAACAGGAAACAAACGGGCCTGATAACGCTAGAAAGAACTGGCAGGGGAGTGAACGTAGAGCAGGGAATAAATAGGGAGAACTAATCAGGTGCAGCTGGTGGTAATCGGGGGATATGAAGCAGGTGTGTTGATAACGTCATCAAGGTAAGGGAGCAAAAACAGAGTGAGGGGAGTGAGAAAGGCAGGTGCAGCCGGGCAAACCTGACAACTCTGATTATTTTATCTGTACTAAACATTAAAATCACACAAAGTCTGAGAATTCACAACTCTGAATAAGGAGCAGGTGGATGGTATACAATAACACATAGAACAGGCTTTTCAGTTTTGGTGTGAGAGACTCTGGGTGAGGCTTTCAAATGAGCAACTACTATATATAGGTCTAGTGTTGGTTTAATAGGCTTAAGGTGAAACTTGCTGCCACAACTCCACCTCGGCCTGAGGAATGTGACAGTTACTAACACTAATCCAAGCCCAGGTGGAGTGGATTCATTTAGGCTGACATATTCTTCCTGCTGTAACCACGTTTCAGTAAGACACAATAAATCAATGTGATGTTCACTTATCAAATCATTCACTAACAGATTTAGATGAGAGAGAGATCTGATATTTAATAGTCCACATTTGATTGCCTTATTATTTTCTACTATAAGAGGAGTCGTTCTAATTTTAATTAGGTTCTTATGAATAACTCCTCTGGAATTGATTCTTGATTTATATAGGGGGGGGCAGACACAGTCTCTATGGGGTACTGAGAGTGTTGGGTGGGTAGCAACAGGAAAACTACATTATATAATGTGAATTACGCTTATAGACAGACCCAGTATTATTAGCCATGTGCTGTGGCTGCAGCAGTGAACAACAATGATCATGTGGCGCTCACATTGTGAACACAAACTGTAATGATAGCGTGCCACCATATTTATAATGTAGGTCATTTTATTGCAAACGGCAAAGTGAGATCTTCTGGCTCACAGCACATTAAAATGAAAAGATAATGTGTCAAACCTACATAAAATATAGTAGCTTATTACAGAATCAAAACAAAATGAACAGTGTGGCCTGCCTTTAAGAGCTGGATCAATGCCAACCTGTCACAAAACCTAAAGTACAGGATTCCATCTCTACTTTGCATATACTGCAATGCACATATCAGCACTGGCATTTTAGCTCCCAACCCACAGCCACCAGCAGCAGCATGGTCGGCCCTGCTGGTTTTGTCTCAATCTGCCTTAAACTTGGATATAGCACTTTATTAGGTACCGTATGCGATTCAATGCAGCACTTCCACCTTAACATCTGTGTTTATGAAGCTCAAAATATTTCAGTTTCTGGTGAAATTGTCAGAAATGTATAAGTTCAATTAAATGTTTATTATTGAGGTCATAGTTAAAGGTGGTGTTGTACTAGACTACATCATATCCAGAGGTGTCTGTATATTTTTGTCCTCCCCAGCTACATACCTGAGGGTCAGACTAGAAGAGTCTGTCTACTGACAGGTCTTGTGACTAATGACTCGACTGTGGGACTGTTGGGGACAGCCCTAGTTTGTTCCCCTTGTGCCTTCCCATGCATGAAAATAAAAGGAGCCCTTTTGTGTTGTGAATATGGACTTTGGTTTATGGCCAGACTGTGTTCTGTCCGACTGTCTTTTACCCTGAACTGTAAAGTCTCAGAACCCTAATCTGAAAGTGCCTCAAAATCATGTACACCGTTTACTTTCAATCCTGAAAGTGACAGGTGTTTGTTGACAAATGACAGCTCCCCTCTCCTGTCTGTTAGCCAAACAATGTCTGTGTGTGTGTGTGTGTGTGTGTGTGTCTCTGTGTGCATCTTCATGTCCCTGTCCCAGTCTTTGTGTGTCTTTTGTCTCAATATATATGTGTGTTAGTCTCACCTGTGATCAGCACCACTCTGTTCTGCACTGGCAGCAGCTCTCGTCTCCTCTCAGAGCCGTGGAGCAGGGTGAGGCTGCAGCCGAGGGCGACCCCCCCACAAAGACCTGGATATCCCAGAAAGTAGAGGAAGGCGCCGACGAGGGCCCCGAGGGCAGCGTGCCAGTATCCACAGCCATCTTTAGGTGTCCGCAGCACAGTGAAGATGTAGACAGAAGCACCTAACATGCACAGCCAGGAGCAGATTTCCATGGTCACACAGTGTAACAGCAAATGGTCTGAGTCACAGGCGTCGTGCACCGGGATCGTCCTCCTGCGGTATCTGCACACAGGTGTGCTGAGTTCCTGCCAGGCGCTTAAATTGAAACCTGCGAGAGGAGGGGGCGGGGCAGCTCCTCCTCCTCCTCATCTTCTTCAAACAACGCACAGAGATAAGGACTGTTCACAAACAGCAGCACACGCAGGATGTTTAAGTCGTCGGTGCTCTGTGCTCAGTACCTGCGTGCATGTACTTCACTTCTGATGTGCTTTACTTGAGTGTTTCCATTCCATCATCTCATAAAGCGTGTTTCATACAAAGGGTCCAGTTTGCTAAAACACAAGGACTGATTAAAATAAGAGAGCCGCTTCTGTTATTTAGCCTTTCAATGGGGTGGACAAAATACCAGAAACACTCAACATAACTACTGTGGCGTTATGACCCCGTGTGTGGCTGACGTGCTTAGTGTGGTGGTGTCTCTCTGTTTTCACGGTCTCTTGTGACCCATCTCGGATTAGTTTCACCAGAGACCAGCTCTTGGACATCAGACAGCTCACTCTAAACACCTTTCATCCCATTTTTCAGACAGCGTAAGTTGTTTGGACACTGTGGCCGATGGAGCAGCACGATCCTTGGGATCTAAACAGGTGCTGCATCGGATGAGTCAAGCTCCGACAGAGGGGCCTCCAAACCCCGCTCCCGGACTAATTCTGCCTTGTCAAGATGTGGCTAAAATCGAGTGAAGGAGCAAAGTGGAAAGGCGAGTGGAGGTGGAATCTGGTTCTACATACAAAGATATCACAGTGTTAGGAAACATTTGTAACTTAGAGGCAATGTTTCTTAAACTGCAGACCATTTTATTCAACGAGAGAAACTTCTTGTTCATTTTGGTCGGTGTTTATAACACCGCCCCACACCTCCACTAACAACGTCACAGCACCTGGCTGACCACGTAACCAGTGTGGAGCTAGAACATCCCGACTCTGCACTCATTGTTCTAGGGGACTTTAACAGAGCAAATCTCACCCACGAACTGCCCAAATACAGACAACACGTCACCTGTCCCACCAGGGACAAAGTCACACTGGACCACTGCTACACAACAATAAAAGACACCTATCACTCTGTCCCCCACGCAGCCCTCGGACTCTCAGATCACTGTATGGTCCATCCAGTGATGTGCGGTGAGGTTGACAGCTGGTGAGGCACTGACTCCTTTACAGTCAGATTTACAAATACAAATGAACCGAACCGTTAACAAATTGTCTGTTAACAGACAATGCGTTATGTTTTATATCTCATATGTGGATGGCTGATCATTTGGTGAGCAGGAGATCACACCTCCCTGCTGGAATGTGATCTACACCGGGTGTCTGTGTGTATGTGTGATGTTAATTTGTATGTTAAACTGGCCAGGTGGTCATCTCAGGATGTCGGGCCCCCGGTCTCTGCAGGACATCCCAAGACAAAGCAGAACTTGTAATATGTTAAGTGGGTCTGTGTGTGAATGCAAAACAAGTCGACTTGTCTTTGTTAAAATGTGAATTGGCTGTCTGGTCGCGAAGAGGTGCAGACACCAAAGGCAGCTGGAGACGGTATGCGAGTTGTTAGATGTGAGACAATGGTATGAGTTTTATAGATGTGTATTGTATCACTTTGGTATAAAAGGACTGCCCCTTTACCAGTCACCCAGAGAACTCTGCGCGACTGTACGAGTTCTCTCCATGCTGCATGAAATAAAGAATTCTTCGAAGCTACTCCCGGCCTCCAGACATCTTTATAGGGTCCTGCACGTTCCCACTACCACACTCCCTTGGAGTGAAACTGTGCTGGGCTCGACTTCCCAGAGTGCATCTCAATATTAAAGTGAACACACACACACTACAACTGAGTTGAAGGCTACATTTCTCATTAGTACATTTTATATAAAACAGTGCTCATGCTTTAATCTGAGTGAAAGTTGTACTCCTTATAAGTGCATAGGAAAAAGATGCTGGTGTTTCAGTTACAATGTCCATTCCTTATATGTTCATAGAAAATAGTGCTGGTGCTTGAGTTGCAATGTCTCACACAACTTAATATCACTTGAACTTAGAATGGACTCTAGTACTGTAGCTCCATTATGTGAGTGGAGAGTTTATCATTAACAAAGGTCAAGGTCAAAGTGTCTGTAGGGCTGAGAGGTGGCGTCCCTGCCCGAGGAACAGAGACGGCGTTCTCTGCTGTTAAAAGTTTTATAAAGTCTACTTGTGGGGCATAGGGCGGCGTCCCTTGCTCGAGGAATAAAGTGTGAATGTGTTTGAAGGTACAAGGGAAAGTTAATTAATGCATTGGTGTATAGAAGGTTGTTAGAAAGAAATTGAATGTGCAGCAGTGCAGGGACGTTCCCTGATTTGGCGGGATTGTAAAGGTACATCGCAAGATGGTTTGAGGTTGAGTAAAGCGAATCGGTGGTTTAGTAAAGTAGGACAGAAGTGTGTGAATGAATGTGAGGAATTTCAAGTGTTAAGTAGACTAACAGTGAATCAGTGGGGAGCGTGACAGACGCTCCACAATATAATACATGTATTAAGCGCAAATTAAAA